CAAATAAAATGAACTCCTAAATTGACACAAAATATTAAAACGGCCCTTTTCAGGGCCATCAATATTATCCATATATTACTGATTATTTTACCTTATGATTTCCCAGATAATTAGTTATATTCCTCTTCACAAGTCCAACACAATTATATTGTCGAATCTACCACCATAAGATTTTCGACAATTTTTCCTTTCTTAAGCATTTATAGACTTCATAATACCACCTCTATTTTAGAATTTCATACTCCTTAATTTAGGGATGAGAATAAATTTAATTTTGATAGACACATACAAGTTAATAAAGTTAATTTCTATATTATTAATAGGATAATTGTGTCGATATACTTAGTTCTATGTTTTTACGTTCCAATTTTTTAAAATAAGTGCATTTTATAGAAAAATATCTTAATTTGAATAGTTTGGACAATGATGGTCTTTGTCTAAACAATTTATACACCTATTCTATACTCTGTAATGTGTCTTTGTTCTTATCTTAATTATAACTGCTCTAAACTAGTTTAAATTTAGACTTTGTTCCCTATTTGAAAGAACATGCAATCTTGAAACGGACGCTTTACGTGTACTGGTTGTGAACCCTGGCCTACCCATAATGAATTAAAACTGCTCATCTTTGTAGTGAAGGACTTTTGCAGTTTATTTGGCTCACTCATTGATAATAGCTACCTTAATGGATTCGAATCTACCTATCGATTGGCAATACAGAGAGGCTCCAGTTACAGTTTGTCCACTAATGTTTTATACAGCCTCAATTCTACGTCAATTTCTATCTAAAATAAATGGATTCTAGACTTTAGTCACATGTAGAAGAGTAGGGCAAATGTACAGCTTCAGTATTGTGAGTTTTGACTTAATAGGGATTTTTGAGCTCTTTTCGGGGACGCCTGCCACTATATCTTTTATAGATGATGAATTAACGATATTTTTTCTTTTTAAGTATCTTCATTGAAAGGATCTGATGAATTTGATGAAAAGACAAGGCTCATTCGACTTTGCTAATTAAAATATAAGACCATCATGCCACACTTTATCTATGGATTTTTCCATGTTTACCGTTATTATGCTACGTAGACTCTTTTTCGTTAACTTTAAAGATTATCATCTTTATAGTTATCTTGTTCTGTACTGAAAATATGTATTCATCCGATCTTAGTTCTATGTATTTTTCAAGATTTGTCGACTAACTAAATGAATACTTTAATATACATAATAATATTATTACTTTTATTATTAATAATAAATTATATTATAACGAAACAACGATAATAATCATTTAAATTATTATTTATTAAATATAATCTGGTCATAAAAAAGAAATTTATTTTTTTTTTTAATTAAAATTAATTAAGTTCCGATAAAAATGTTAAATAATGTACATTTACCTGAATTATAATATGTTTTTTATAATTTTAAATCATTAAACATATACAATTAAATGATAATTTTACCATTCACACTAGATAAACTTAATTACTTTAGATTCCAAATCGAAATACCATTTCTTCCAAAGCGAAGAAGTCGAATGTTCTACAAAGCTGTTTTTTTTTCTATCATGTATAATATATTTTAATCTCACTGTGTAATATAGTATCAGACTACTTTTGCATACAAAATAAAAATAACTGTTTATAATTAGTTGATTTGATGGAAAATCATAAAAATTAGTAATTGTGATATGTAGATGCGTGGAAATAAGAAATTTCGGGTACAAAGTCAATTGTTGGAAAGTTTTTGAGATTACCAAGTGTTAGAGTTAAATTGTAGCACATAATTTCATTTACTGCACTGTGTGCGTTTTCCATCTTTCGGGCTATCGCCGTACAATTATCATTTATTGTTATTACATTTTATTATTGTGTCAAAATTTCTCCTGATATACGTGAAACAGATTAATGATAAATTTGGTGGCCCTGAAAAGGGCCTTTTTAATGGGAAAGTATTGAAGAAAAATATTTCTAAGCACGTTCTCCGCGAATACGACGAGCTAATTGAATGTCCTTCGGCATGATGGTAACACGTTTTGCGTGGATAGCACATAAGTTTGTGTCTTCGAACAGTCCGACCAAGTACGCTTCACTGGCTTCCTGTAACGCCATTACAGCGGAACTCTGAAAACGTAAATCGGTCTTGAAATCTTGGGCGATTTCACGGACTAAACGTTGGAAAGGTAGTTTTCTGATCAAAAGTTCCGTACTCTTCTGGTACCGACGGATTTCCCGAAGGGCGACAGTCCCCGGACGGTAACGATGCGGTTTCTTCACACCGCCGGTAGCCGGTGCGCTCTTACGTGCTGCTTTCGTGGCCAACTGTTTCCGCGGGGCCTTGCCACCAGTCGATTTTCGCGCTGTCTGCTTGGTACGAGCCATGTCGTTGATTTCGTATGAATTGGATGATGATCGTGTCGAGAAGTAGTCACCTTTATATATACAGAAATTTGATAAAAACAAACTGTTTTCATTGGCGGAAAAGTGTACGAATGTGGGCAGGAGTGGGGACGTACGGTGCGATAATCCTATTGGTTAGCGTCGTTACGGATCGAACGCATATATACCGGTCGTGCAGCCACTTGGTTATCATTGAACGCAGCACCAGTGAAGGAACAACAGCTCGTCCACTAAACCTCTAACGAAATACAACGATGACTGGACGCGGTAAAGGAGGAAAAGGTCTTGGCAAAGGAGGCGCAAAAAGGCATCGTAAAGTGTTGCGTGATAACATCCAAGGGATAACGAAACCAGCTATTCGTCGTCTAGCACGTCGTGCGGCGTGAAACGTATATCCGGTCTCATCTACGAAGAAACTCGCGGAGTGTTGAAAGTATTTCTGGAAAATGTAATCCGTGATGCCGTCACTTACACCGAACACGCCAAGAGGAAGACTGTAACTGCCATGGACGTAGTTTACGCCCTCAAGCGCCAGGGCCGTACCCTTTACGGTTTCGGAGGTTAATCTAAATCATGACTAAATTTTGAAATATGCAACTGGACATGGACTAATTATTATATGTATGTTTAAAACGGCCCTTCTCAGGGCCAACAAATCTAATCGAAGTCTTTTTCTTGCATTATAATAATAATTAATCACTGATCAATATGGATCTCACAACACTATAAATAAAATCTTTTGGTTTTGGTCATATTTTTTGATATTTTAGACTCAGATCTCTCATCAATTATCAAGAAATATTCCATTAGGTTATTTTACGAATAGGGCGCGAAGCCTATGATGTGATTTTACACTGTTTTTTTTTCCCTTCTGCTTAAATATTAATTTAGTACTTTGATGTACAGTACGAAATTCTTAAACTCCATATTATGATTCCCCGGCCGCATATTCCCCTATGCTCACTGCCACGGATGTGGGCTGAATGTAAACTAGGTTTAGTTCTGCACACGAACAAAACCAATGACTGAATCCGGCTGACCGGCTATATACAGTAGTGATGGGATGTGTCGTTGACTTAGGACGAAGGTGAACTAGTTCAATAAACGATACACAAATAAAATATTATAACCCACCGAACGGCTCTGAACGGTTTTTTTTTTTTTTAAACGTACGAATAATTAAACAATAATGTTATTACTATAAACCAATCGCCAGCCCTCAGCAGGTACCTATTACAATGTAAGAAATGTTAATATTAGATAAACATTTTACGGCCTTTTTTTCCCGTGGACAACTTTTTTACCAGCAATTTTACTTTAACTTATATTGATAGCAATTTTTCTAAAATTAAATTTCACCGAGGAAGTACTTTCGATTTTCTCAATAAATATGTAAAAAAACCGGGAAAATCGGTACATTTAACGAATTATCATTTATTATTATTATTATTACTATTTTATTATTATTATTATTATTTAACAATAATTTTCGTTAAAAATTTGATCATAGTCATCATACCTGTCGAAGAGACAATTTGAAAAATTATATCTGACGTTATCACTGTTATCATTGTTGAAAATTATTTACGCCACACTATACACGAGTATATTATGCATACGAAATTGAACGAAATGATTAAATTGCCTACCGGTTTTTATCATATAGTATTATAATGAAAGTTCAGATATTTATGCTCTTAAAATAACTGTAATACCTATTATATGCATTTATGCACTAAAAAATTACCAATTATACAATCAAAATATATGCTCAAAAAATCAAAAAAATATGTGTTTGTAGTTAAAAAAAAAAACCAAATATTTCATATTTTGTAATGATGCACAACAAAATTTCTTTTACGTTAAATATTTAAATTATTTATAATAGTTTTTTTAGCAGTTATTTTTATTTATTATTTTTTTTAATATTACATATTAATTTACAATAAAAGCGTTGTAGTGTAATACAATGGTTTTTTTTTTAATTTGTTCAGATTTTAGGTTTTTTTTTGTTTCATATTTCGTTATTAATTTGATTGTTTCTAAAAAAATTCAAAAATGTACTGAAATATGTGCATATATATTTTTAAGATCCTAAAATCTGCATTTAAAATACAAAACCATGAAATACGCAAAAATATACAAAATTAAAATATTATTATTTGTTTCAGTAGAACTTACATGATTCAAATAATTTGTATCCAGGTCAGCATTTAATCGGATAAACAGAAAAAAATATGCAATTTCATAAACATCCGAATCCCAATGTTATATCGTATTTAGTATACTCCATTTTCACCAGCATATTCATTAGGTATTTTTTTATTGTTATTTTACTTAACTCTATTTACACACGGCCAATAAATATTATTATTAATATTATCGATACTTATCGAAACGCGTTCCGTTTCGCGGGCCTCCAAACAAAATATTATCGTTACGACGGCGTTGTTCGCAGCCATTCAATCGTTTGCCTTTAATCCTGACTAACACTCACTCAAAAGTATACGTCTTTCAATTCGTCTTCAATTCTGATCAATTCGTTTGCTTATAACGATAAAAATGTCATTCGGGCGGAGTTCCAATAATTTATTTATTTAATATTATTAATACAGGTGGATCCCAGAATACAGAATGAAAGAGAAAAAAAAATGATACTGGCGATGGGAGCGGCCACTGTTGTAGGTGAGAAGTTGGGAAGATAGGACACATAAGGTTATTTCATTTATATATGTAAGCAACGATAAACCATTGCTTGCCGAAAGACGATTCTGAGCGCAGGTTGGTATACATAATATGAAGTGCCATCATTTTTTGTTTCGATTTGCGATTTGTGAGACAAATGTATATAATGTACGAGGTCTGTAAATAAAGTAATGAGATTGATATCGTAGCTTGTTATATGATAACACTAATGACTTTCCGTTTGAAAAGGTTTGTAGATAAACATTTAATAACCTTCAGTACGAAT